AAAAAAAAAAAAAAAAAAAAAAAAAAAAAAAAAAAACAAGAAACGAGAGGAGAGAAACAGTCACGAGTTAAAAAAATCTAACAGTTACAGTGGACAACGCAGAACAGAGAGTGAGAAAGATAGAGACAGATAGTTTCTATACATTTCCCGAAACAGAGATAGAGGAAAGATAAATAGAAAGAGAGAGAGATAGAGATAGAATAATCGTGTGAGATATTAGTCGTTGTGTTCTGTGTGTTTTAACCCTTCATTCGTGTTGCTGTACGATGAAACGATGATTATTTTGTTCACTTACCGGAAGATCGTGCAGGGAAGGAGTCACTATCAAATCCGAGTGTGCACGGTCACCTTTTCTCTGAAAGTGAAAGATGAAGATTAGTTTAATCTTAAGAAAGTAATTAATAAATTGCTTTATACGAGTTTTATTTATATTTCGTACACGTAGAATATTGAGAAACAATAATTAAATATATGTCAACTTGAAATTAAAAAGATATTTTACTTTAAATATACAATATGAATTTTCATGGCCTTTTTGCATTTATTAGATAAATGATCTTAGATCATATTAAATATATATTTACCATAACTTTGACAATTGTCTAACGGAGAAATTAATAATTAATAAGGACTTTATTCAATATTAAGAATGAGAGTGATAAGTTATTAGAAATCGAACTCACCAATCTTTATTTAATTTTTCAAAACATTAAATAATTAAATAATCTCTATGATATTGAGAAATGAATGTATTATATTTGATGTTGACAATATATTTTAAACATCTGCTAATTGAAGTATTCATTTTTAATAAAATTGATCCTAATTTCGCAAAATATATATATTTCTATTGTCAGACAGAATAAATGAAAAATTCTATTCGGCACAGCCTAAGATATCATTCGATTCAAAGCATACCCTTGCCATGGCTACCCGAGGCCTGTAAACCAAATCGTCGAAAGTAGCTCTGTCTTTACTGTCGACGAGTTCCCTGAGCTCAGTTAGAAGAGTCAGTTTCTCGTGGGTGTTCAGCAGGTCCCCTAAACTGATAACTAGCTCCTCGATCGTCATTCGACGTGTTCTGTAATCAGCTAAAAGCTGAGAGAGCGCAGCCTTCTCGCTTCTCGCGAGAACCACCCTTGCTTTCTCTTCCACCATCGCGGCCGTCGCCGCGGAAACTGTGTGCATACCGCCTCTATGTCTCCAATCGCTCGCAACGCTGAAGAAAATATTAATACCTGTCGCTTAAAACTGTATTTTATCATACCTTTATTTTATCGTTCGATAATCCATAAGTCAGATATTTTAAACGGCGATTTTCCTGAATTTTTTTTGTCATTATCAACTTTGTTTTAAAGTAATATACTAGCAGGCATTGAAAGTGTTTATATTTAAGATTTTTACGAATAAGAACGTTCAGAATTCGTAAGTACCAGTAATTACGTTTTACAAAATTATAATCTTCTATTGTTTATCTTTTAAGATTCATGTGCCATTATATAAATATGGGGATTTGTTTTAACTATTAAATATTTGAGGTAACGAGTAGTTTCGATATTTTATTACGTATATTTCCGAAAAATGCGTATACCTCGGGAAACGATATTATTAGCGAAGCTCTCGCAGACTGGTTTAAGTAGAATAAGTATTTCTTACGTAGGACTCGGCGGTCGATGATTTCCTGGGCTCTCCAAGAGGAGAGGATCGTGTTCGGGATACCTAGATGTTGGCATGACAATCGGTTGACTAGTGGTGCAAGAGTGTGGCACTTTCCCGACATCGCGAATCAGGAGAGTCATCCTCTTGTTCGTCTTCAGGATTTCCACTGCCTCGTCGTGGGTTGCTTCCTCGAAGTTCTGTCCATTTACTTCAATGATTTGATCACCTACCTGTGAGAAACCATAAAATATCACATTAGTTTCTATTTTAAATTCGTTTGAATCGTAGGCTCTCTTATATTAAACTCGCAGCACTAAAATAAAAAAATGAAACATTTTGGAAGAAAGAACTACTACTAGAATTTTTAAAATTTTCATTTCATTAAGAACCACTGAAATTATTATTTTATTCCGTGTTAATTATAATGTTCTTACAATTTTGCACTAATTTTCTACTTTAATACATAGAATATTACATTAAATATGTTTCTTATATTCATCAAATTAATAGGAAAACGATGGGTAAATCGAATCGCGAATGAAAACCGGGAACGTCCTTGAGTGTTTGCTTTTTCGAACGCCATCAAATCTTTACGATCGTTAGCGTCCACTCGTTGAAGCATCATTGCGATCCACTTTTGTCATCGGAGTACTTACCACCGTTCTAACTTAACGAACTAATTAATTCTTTCTGACATTGAATTACGTAACGAATTGATATACGTTACTCCGTGAACGTCCTGTTAGAACTGTCGTGTGTAATTATAATTGCTATCCGGTGAAGCAATTGTTTTAGTATCATGCGAACAAACGGTGTACTATATTTTAGAAACCAAATATATAGAAAAATCATTGTGTGCCTTCTTTGTAATTAATTAAAATATCACTAACTCTAATCTATAGTTTTTAAGTTATTTTACATAAAATCTTAAGTAAAACTTTAAAGTCCTAAAATCTTAAAGTCGATTGAATCTATAATTTTGTATTCATGTACATTAAATTCGTTAAATTTATAATTTCTCCAAATACAAACTATTTTATCCCGTTCTCTTTCAATAATAATTTAAAAAAAAAAATCTCCACTTATTGAATTTGTAATGCAATGAATATTAAAGTTGCCGAATTTATGTAATACATAATAAATCCTTACTATTTTTCAGCTATATCAAGAACTTTTTAAACAATTTAATTATCAAAAAGAATTATCTCTCTTTACACTTTACAGAAGTTCATAACTTTTAACTAACTTCATCCCGTCTTACTTTCTCTAATTACTCTAATCTTATACTCGAAAAATTTCCAACTTTTAATATATTTCAACCTCCGAAGGAAACGGACGAGGGAAAACTTTTCAATTTTTATCATCGGCAAAATGGCCTGCTGACACGTCGAAGAGCCAAAAGTCTAATAAAAATACAGCGAACCCCTCATCGTGTCGATGGAGGTAATAAAATCTAAGACACTCTTACCAAAAGTCCAGCTCGGTCGGCCACGCTGTCCTTGTCGACCCCGGTGACATAGATCCCAAGGCCGTACTCCAGACCACCCCTGATCATCAAACCAAGGGACTGGCCAGGTTCGATGCAGAGCTCGACTTTTCTCGTCCTTGGACCGTACCTCGAGTCTCGAAGTGGGTAAACTGGAGGTGGCGATGTTGGACGACCTTGGCGGTCGATCCAGCTGCAAGATTGTTGTCGACCAGAAGAAGACCACACCGGATGCCCGCCTTTGCAATGAGGATCCAACGCTGGCCCTCGAACCGTCATACTTAATGTCCTGCATGATTTCAGCATCTGCAATGAAAATTTAAAGGATTCCGTTAATCCTTGAGTATTGTAGGCTCGCATGATTAGAAAGGTTTCAGAAATTTTTATTGTTCACATTAATACTTCAATATTTCATTGTTCTTATACTTGGAGAAACATTATGAATTTTATAGCTTGAAAACTGTAGACATGATTTCAGCACTTAAGATAAAAATTTTATGACGATTTGGTGATAGCTTTCGCGTTTTGGACTTCGAAAATTTCGCCAAGAAAGATGAAATATTACATTTGGTTAAAATTTTATATAAATTCCCAGGTTTTAAATTTATCTCATTATTATGAATTTCGTAACTTGTGGAAAATGTAAGCAAGATTTAAGCATCATACACCAAGAATTGGAACGTTGTTAAATTTTATTAGAATATTATTCCTAGCAAACCTCGCACATCACTTTCGAAGTAATTGTGAGTCTTGAAGTTCAGACAAATGCAAAGACTTTGCATCTGCGACGAAAGGCGAAACGTAGTTAAATTTTATTAGAATTGTATAACAGCTTTCATATATCGAACAAATTTCTCTTTATCACGAGTTTCGAAGTCTACGAAATGTAAAGAGTTTTGAAATTTAAATGACGAACGATTGTCATCCGTGGTAAAAATTTTATATGGATCTTCACATTTTGAATAACACTAAATTGTGAATTTCGATTGTGTATAATAAGCAAACGTAAGTAGATATCGTGAATGAAAATGGATTATTAGATTATCTGGAAGTGACAGGTTCTGCGGCAGAATATTCATAAACAGGGTGGAGATTTTAAGAATCGGTGGAGAATGCTGAAGTGGAGATTTCGGGTTAACATATGGCGCAGATGGGGCCGAAGTGGTGCTCGAAGAAGTAGTTGGTTCGCAAATGACGAAAAAGTCAAAGGAATTTGGGTTATCGAAAATTAATATTTCTGTACGGAACATCTTACAAAAAGTATAATACAAAACGAAATTGAAAGAATCATCCGCAATGTTTAAAATTAACGCTACTAGCAAAATGATTCGAAGATTTAACTGAACCATTACGATTGTACACCCAATATTAGTTAAGAGATTTCATTTAGTTGAATCCCTTTTCTTGGAAGCATCGAATATTTTACAAGCGTGCTATAGACCAGCTTCGAATTAATAGGAAACTAAGAAGGGTTAATAAGTCCTCCATTTACTGTAATGCCATCGAGGATAATTAACCTCTGTTATTGGCCACTTTATTGATCTTCGGCTACAAAGCTGCATTTACCTTACAGCTGACAATAAGTATAAATATACTTGTAAAAAGCGATACAACGAGATCGTAATATCAATCGTTGATTAAAGTTTAGTTGACTGTAATAGTAATAAAATTCTATAATGATAGAGATTACAGCCATCTATTCGTGGTTTATAATTATACATTTATTGTACATTTATTTCTTATATTATTCTTATATGTCGAATTGTAATAATATTCTTCCTTGTAGCAATTTCACCTACCAATTATACCATTGTATATGTAACAAGTATATGTAACAGATCACAATATTTATTGAGACTCTCTTTTTACACACGCGACATGCTTTACTACTTATACAAAACTATATAAACATATATGAAATCTTTTAATAATAAATGTCCAAGTATTTTCGCAAGTCACTGTATATCGCTTCTTCCAAGTATAATGACATATATGGTCCATACATGTAACATACAAAATAGAGTTCCACACGTAACAAACGTATTATTCAAACGGGGTTATTGTACATCGTTGTATAACTAGAGGCGTTGGAGAAGTTAGACCATCCTTTGACCATTATTCAAGGCTCGTGACGGCTCTTTTATGCAAAAGAACCGAGACAGACACGTACGTATCAGGCAGAAGAAGAATCCTCGCTGACTACCTCAGAATAAATCGCTTATACGTGTTGTGCCTCAGCGAGTTGAAAGAAATCATTGTCCGCGAGAAGGGCTCCTTCGGCAGGGACCTTGGCAAGTGAAACAGCAATCGACGACGTGTGTGCCGGGTCAACAAGGAACAAATGATTTTCACGCCGTTCCCAAGTAAGAATAAAAGCCACGACATTGTGCATACGACGACCCCTTGCAGAATTTTCGAAAGACCGCGTCAGCTATGCATACGTGTAACAAACAACTCGAGTGTTCTCGATGGCGTATCTGTCAGCCGTTTGACGACCGTTGAACGAAAGTGTCCAAAAAATATTCGTCAATTTCCCTCAAACTTTTATGCTGCGATTCTCCCATATTTCGTCGGACATTTTCCATCGGATAATATTTTTCTATCGTCAAGAATTTTTTGTTTTAAGAATAATAAGAAAGAATCGCTGTGACTCGTGAATTTTTTTTGCGTTTTTTGAGTCACTTTAAATTGAATTGTATGTTTATTATAATATACAATTTTTTAATTTCGGGGGAAAAATACAGGGAAAGAACCTTTATATTCAGTTCCATCACGTTCTTTGAGTTTTTCTTTCTTAATTTATGCACGTAGGTCATTTTCAGCTGAGCAGTATTTTTCTATCGCTAGGAGAATTGTTTTTTATTTTTTTATCCTTCCAATTTCATTTCATCCCTTCGTTATCAACACATAAAAAGACTTTCAATATTCACGCGTAAAATCGCAGAAAAATTTATTCAAAGTGGAATTAGATTTATTAAAAGTAGAAAAATACGATTGAATAAAAAATGATTAACAAACGCTAGGCAAGATTAAAATATAACAGAGAATGGAAAGGCGAATAATAAAACGGGTGGGCAACCATTACTATTTTACATAGTAAAGAGACAAGGAAGAATGTAAGAAATTTGAAAGGCTTAGAAGGAACGAATTTATGAGGGATCAAACAGGAGTTTCAAGAGCGATGATAGAATTAAAGTCGAAGAAGAACACTTAGAGGGAGTAAGGTTGAAGCAAATGCGAGTCTACAACCTTGACGCGAATTATATCAGACTGGAGAGGGGAAATCCTGTGCAGAAAAATGTGTGCTTTGCACATAGTTTTTATCTTATATCGGCTAGTTTGACTTCAACTGTTGGGAATATTTTTGCTGAATATGAAACAAATAAATATTATAATATATATAGATGTAGTGAACTGTTTTGTTTGTTTAAACCTCGCTGACTGTTTTTTACAAAAACACAATACGTAAAATATAATACATATCCTTTCTGATATTTCTGTGAATTTTTATAGTACATACAAATCCTTCTTATTCGTGAACAACCCCATCATTAACTGATACTGATATCCCCTGTATCATCAACTGCTTTATAGCTGAATTTATGACATCGATACATCTTGACTCAGACCGTAGATCCATTCCCACATCACGAGAAGATGGAAGGGAACAATTCGATAGGTATTCGTTCGAGTGGTGGCGCATGTTCGAGAAGAAAATTGACACGTGTAAAGTGAACAAGAAGCAAAAGGTGCGTTCAACGGTGACGCCATTTGGTAACTATCGATCTCCTAGCAGTCCGTGACGTCACATCCTGCCTATCCTTGACCCAGCCCGGATCCTCAGGATGCCACGCTCCTGGCCCACAAAGATGTAATTCTGTAGTATTTATGCGAGGCATGTACTCACTATCGTCACTGTTCTTCCACCACCTTCATCACGGAGCTTCTCCATCTGAGAACGTATGGAACTTTTCCGATACGAGTCGTATAAAGTGCTGGAATTACACCGCGATTCATCACGCCACGAGAATTACACGCTAATGATGCAAAGCTTACGTCGAGACGTAACGTTTGTGGTTATTGAGAAGCAATGATATCGGTAAGTTTTGGACGAGAGTTTCCATTTAGGCTTTCTGGATTTCTTCTGCACAACAATTTGTTCGTTAATCGTCTTTGTCTTGTTATATCTTTTTCAATGTTTCGTAATTTTTTGACAAACAGGATTTATGATTCATTTGCCAAATTTCATCTGTTTCGTTACTAAATTCATTCGTGCTTTGTAAGTATTTTTGTTAATACATTGAGTTCAATTGGACGAGACAATAACTATTTAGATATATTTAATAAGCAATAATATTTAGTAAATTGATAAGTGACAAATAATTTTACAATATTACATCATTATTATAATTGCAGAAAATTCTTCTGTCTCATTGAATCAATGAAAAATCCTTCTATCCTCATACACTCATGGAAAATGAAATTTAAGATTCATCTTATCTCAATATTCAATTATCTAGAAAAATAAATTATGTTATTTGATGTACAATAAAACCAAATATAAAATACACTAAGATTAAATACCAAGATTAAACTACGCTTGCAATTTGTAAAAATAAATTTATTAATACACTAATTAATAAACCCTGGTGACACAATCGATCGATTGATCATTAACTGCAAGTCGAAGACTATTCCTTCGTCCGATATTCGGATCGTGACATTTCGCACGAATGTTAATTAATATCGCTGCGACAGGTTTTCATTAGAAAGCCACAAGTAAAAGATAGCTCCGCTACAGGAAGGGACAGAGAATTCATTTCCGAGAGAATCACCCTTTTAACTTTCGAAACAATGTTATTATCCTGGGCTATTTCCACGTGAAATCGTGCAACGATTCCTGGCTCTGTGATTACAACCGCGAAATCTCGTTTCGCGTGTGCATCCACGGTTAAAAAGCCTCGTAGATTCTTATCGTTAATAATACCGATGGAACTTTTGTACGTGATAATGGCTGAAAGTACGCAATTACTTCCAGTCAATCGTGTCTCCCACGAAATGCACGGCACGAGCATATTTATGGAATTGTCGCGATGTATCGAAAACGAGGAACAGGCTGACTCATCCGTTGAAATAATCGATACCGTTCCTAATTCTTGCGTGAAACGGCAAAGGGGAGCCGTTTGCGGAAATTTAATGGACTCTGTGTTACGTCTATGAATCTACGTGAATAATAAATATCGAGAGAAAGCAATCATTACCGAGGGGAAACTAGTCCGTACGTCGAGTTTTATTTCCGATTTTATTACTCGTCATCAGAGAGAAAGAAGCCAATCACGATTCATAATTTTTCAACTATTCAGGAGTCGATCGATCGAGGAACAGTGTCACAGTTTCTTGATACTATTCGATCCTCGTTCTCATTTCATTCGGTATAA